CAGCACCTCTATCCACCTTATCAACCAAGGCCTCCACTACAGCATTGGAAAATCTTACAGCCTCCCTTGCTCTATATTGCACCAAGTGTTTCCTAAGTCAGAATCAGTTGGAGAATGGCTTCCAGCACCTGACGCAGACAGCTGAACATTACAACCCCCAAGCCTGTATTACTTGAGACTATTCGATTTGGAGCCCATACACTTTACAGAAAAGTCTTTGGGAAGTAAGAAATGAGGGAAAGCTTTTTTTCAAACCACGTAATTAATCACACCGAGTCAATAAATCATATTCAATGCCCATTTTCACAAGTAATGATGAGATTTTGTCATCATTTTTTTTTTAAATAAGTTGGGACTATTTTCCTTAGAGTAAAGGTGGCTGAGATGGGAGGTGAATGAGATGTATAAAATTATGAGGACCATAGATATGGGTAAATAGGAATAAACCTTTTCCCTTAATAGAAGGATCATTAATCAGGGGCATAGATTTAAGGTCAAGGGATGGAAGCTTAGAGGGAATTAAGTAAAGAATATTTTTTCACCCAAAGGTTGGTAGGTATTTGAAATCATTGCCTTAAAGAATGGTAGGGATGAGAACCATCACAACATTTAAGTATTTAGATGATCACTTGAAGTGTCACATCAGACAAGGCTACAGGCCAAGTGCTAGAAAATGGGACTAGACGAGTCAGATGCTTGATGACCAGCACAATCCCATTCTGAAAACTCTGACTAGATAAGCTGGCTGAATGCAATTTTGTTTCAATCCGAGGTTTCAAATTAGACAAACGTTATGGTCCAATCCAAGTAATTAAAATATTAGATTTTCTACATCACCATAAATTCAGTCATAAATTGTGAACACGTAAACTCGGAAAAACAGAATTCTTTATCCTAGAAGCACCACCATTATGGTGAAATCCTGTTTGCAGTGGCCAAAGGCCATAATGTCAATATTCACTAACAAATTTATAAAAATGACTTGAAAGTTTGAATTTTATCCAATGTAATTGTGCAAACCAACACTTGCAAAATGTAACGGCCAGAGTGCAACATGAAGGATAAGTAGCCCAATTGACAAATCCTTCAGTTGGACTTCAGCATGCATAATAACAACGTCATTTATAAACTTGCTTTTACACCATCAGTTCTGAGATTTTAAATTGCACCTGTACAGTTTTTAAAAGAAAACTTACAGTCTCAGTCTGCCAAAAGGTATCCATAATTGGACATTTCCTGTTCCCCACTACATTATAGTACCAAAGCCAGGCCTCTGGGTTTATTGCTTCTCCCACTGTGCCAAGGATTTTCAAGGACTCTCTTCTAAACCTGTTATGGGACAAAATCCAAAATTCAAACTTTATAACTTCAAAATAAACAAAGAAATAAGTTTACTGCATTCTCTGCACTACACACCTGACATCACACACACCAATATTTTGTTCCTAATCATAGTATCATACCAAAGATAAAGTGTGCAGATTATATCCCTAAAAAAAAGTAATGAAAGAACTTCCTCATCTTCAACCACACATAAAACACCAGGCTCAATGAAGGATGTATTTAAATACACTACACATATATAACTGCACAACTTAGGGTCAGGTACAACTGTTGATCAATGTTTTATATTAAGTGTTTAATACCATCAGCACTGTATTTTGAGATTCCCTTGATTTTTGGTTGTAAGAGTTGGTAACGTATAAAACAGTACATCAATGAAAAATGAAGAAAAGTGTCTACCAAGCCTGCTCCGTAACAGCTGCTGTACAATTCATTCCATCAAAGACTCCCTTCCACCCATTTTATTTCCTGAGGAAACGCTTTGTGTCTAACTGTCCTTGATCCCCAAAGATAAATCAAGGAAACTTTAGGATATTTGTCGTCATTCATCACATTTCTGCTATTCAAACCTGGATGAATGTTACCTGGAGATAACCTCCACCTACACATTGTCATTTTCAGTGTAATCCAACAGGAACCTCACGTTCCATTGGACCATTTCAACATCCGCCCCCACCTCACCCCCAATTCCATTCACCCTTTATAATTTGGCTCCTGAAAAGGTAGCAGGGATTAACCTTTCACCTACTTATTAATAATTCTGGACAAGCAACAAATGAAGACAATATTGATTAAAACTTATTAGAAAAGCTGTAAGTCAGTTTTATTTTCAAAAAGTGTCTCACCTTCTGACTGGTTCTTCTCCATATTTCATTAGCAATCGAATAGCTGTGGGTGCAGTGTAGAATTTTGTCACTTTGTATTTGTCAATAATCTCCCAGAATCTACTTATATCAGGGTAAGTCGGTACACCTTCAAACTAGAAATTAATTTTTCGAAAAGATAATAATGCAGAGGTTAAAACAAAGTCAAGTGTATCTCAGTTCAATATGCTAACGAAGCCTCGGTGTAGTTTTACACTTTGCTGAGATAGCAACTTATAGCTATTCAATTACAAGCTTTTCCATTCAAAGTGTTGGCAATACAGATCTGAAAGCTTAAACGGTTTGAGCCCAATCAAATATTGTAAAGTGTTAAAGACTTCCCCCTCAGATCCAATGGTATGTATCCTAGTATTAGAAAATAAGTAAAGATGATTGGAAGTTTAAATACATGGTTTTATAGATGGCATAAAATGAATAGTTTATCACCATTTTCTTTCAGATTTTACCAGTTAGTAAGAGTGCACGGAGTATAATACAAAAAGAACTTTAGAAACTTCTCTGATCAATCGGTTGTAGGTAATATTGATACTTCAATACTAACCATAACACTTGTAGCACCATTGGCTAGAGGTCCATAAACAAGGTATGAGTGGCCTGTAATCCACCCTATATCAGCAGTACACCAATACACATCATCAGGTTTGTAGTCAAACACATACTTAAAGGTTGTAGCAGTATAAAGAAGATAGCCTCCAACTGTGTGCTGCACACCCTTTAAGAGAACAAAGATTTGATTATAAACTTCACAGATTTTATCAAGTAAACCTACAGGGAAAAAGCTCCATATGTAGAATGCAAACTCCTGAATTTAATACCAGAATGGGACTAGGTTGAAGGAGTTAAATAATACAGATATATACTGTAGAGACTGTACTTCCTTAGGTATGTAAAAACAGAGGGTTCTATTTCATTCCTTCTTGTTGGTGAACTGGGAGGTGGGAAGGCCATAATCAGGTGGGAAGCATGGACCCTGCCACCTTCGCAACTCCAACCTAATTAAAGCAGAGGCTATATTTCTGCCCAGCACCCAAATGAGATCCTTCAGACCAGTTAACCCAGAGGGCAGAAAGGGGGAACCAGTGTAAGAGGAGCAGGGCAAGTAAACCCGTGATAGCTCCTTTGGGGCAGGGGTTGATGGTGCCTCATTCAAAAGGACTAAACATCTGATTGAGGAACCCAGTATTGGGCAGGGGTCCACACCTCTTTCCCTGACTATTCCCATCCCACAAGACCTCTTCCCCCATCTCTTCACTTTGGCCAGGGTGATTCTGCATTCTGGGCTCCTGTGGAGGTCATTCCATCATTCTGGTGGCACTGTTGACATAAGGAGCTGCCGGCTTCAGCAGTTCCCAGCAGATGGAATTGACTACCCTGGGGTCATCAATCCTATCCATCCACCAACGGCCTGTTAACTGGCCAATTGAATTGTATTTCAACAGACTCTCCCCAAAGCGGGCAAGACAGATCCCTCCCCCAGTCAGTTGTCCAGTCAGCAGCCCATCACTTTCATAACAATACCCAAACCAATTTCCAAACTGAGGTGTTTATACTGATTCAAAGAATTAATAGAATAGGTAGTGAACAACTACCCTGCTGGTGTTGACCAGTGCTTTGGCATAACCCTAAAATTAAAGTTAGGCTGAATAGAGCATTTCTTTATACAAAGAATAGTGGCTATCACAAACTCTTACCTATGAAAAGCTAAAGGGGCTGGTTCAATTGAAAAATTCAAAATTGAGCTTAATAGATTTTTGTTAGGCAAAAAGATTACTGGGGATTACTATATTCAGCACTTAGTGGTCAGTTGGTAGCATATGCCACTTGAAGATAAAAGAATCTTAGGCAGAGTAACACAGCTCCATTCATCCCTCACTGAGGAAAAACCTGGCAAAATCATCCAAAAATGTCATGGCCACTCACTTGTGTCGGTCAATCTGTTGTAAGTGGAGTACAGGATGCAGGGAAGAGGCAGCCTCTCTCGATTAGCTTCTCATTCCTGCTGCTTCAGCAACCAAGGTACAGTTCAGTTGTTCTGATCCTCCATAGGGTCCCTTAAACTAGAACTCCTTCTTCATGGAAATTCAGCATATCAACCTATCTGTCCTCTCTGATTGGCCAGGAAATGCAGAGGCCAAAGTTAAAGAGCAGGAAGAGTAGGTGTAATGTTGTGGATGCTGTCAATGAATGCTTTCTGATACACGTTGAAGCATATTGAAGAGGGGGTGTCAATCATAAGCTAAAATTTCCCTGTGACCATTTCTCTAATGTTGCATCAGCTCCATGCAGGGGAATGCCTGGTCAGACCTCACAATAATAAAAAATGATTTAATGTTATTAGCTAAACAAATGCTGCATCCAATTGTAGGTCCCACACACAGTGACCTTGGTAAAGGGTTACTGAAGAATCACAAAAACAACTGGCTATTCAAATAGGCTTAAAATATTGGATCTATTTACTTTACAGTACATGGACTTGAAAGCAATTTGTTTGAGGTATATGAAATATTGGAAAAGCTGCACTGTTTTTCTGCTGACAGATCAAGGAGAACAATTCTAACAATACAAGAATTGAAACAGGCTACATGTCATGTTGTTTTTCTTCTCCACAAAAGTAGCAAAAGGACCTTTTCATTTCAGTTAGTATCTTGTGTAGTATGTGTTGACTATCTGCATTCCTTCAACAGCAGCCAGTTGGACGGTTCTTGACTGAGATATGATCACATTTTATTAATAGAAAAGTAATCAGTTTACATAAATGTGGTCATTGTGATCTTTGATTTGATTGCCCTATTTTTCTTTTTGTCTCTCCCAGAGGTTTTAATGGCTCTGGCTGGAGAGAATGGTTGACAATTTCTAATCATGCTTCTCTCAGCATCATGAGGGTGAGGCAAACAAGGATGGACCAAATGTTTTTTTTCCTGCCCATTGTTGTCAAGTGCACTACTATTCTAGGTGGAGCAATGTCATTACCTTTGGTTTTCCAGTCGATCCACTAGTATAAAGGATAAACAGAGGAGTTTCAGAGTCACACCATTCAGGTTCACACTCATCACAGGCTTCCTTCATTAAATCATGCCACCAGAGGTCAACATCTACATTCCATGGAGTCTGAAATGTAGAAGGTCCAATAAACATGAGATCAAAATAATTATAAAATCAACCAGCAGCAGTAATTAAAAATACATCATAGTATAAATTAATATCATGGGTCTTTATTCTGTCATGAATTCACAATTTGCTTTAATAATGAGGCACCTGTGTTCTACAAAAACTGCATCAGGATTAACTAAACAAGCATAAAAGACTTGTGATAACATTTGCAACCTTTGCACCCCAATCTTGGGATGGATGACAACAAAATAATAGCATAAATACTAAATAAATCCTTGATATCTGAAAAAAAAAGCTTATAAAATATACATCAAGCGGGACCTAAAAGAGGGTATGCCAGTTAAAAGGTTTCAGTTATTCGGATGAAATGTTACATTGAAAATATTAAATTTGCCCCTTAAAAGAAATGACTAACACACATAACTTCTGCTTTAGATAAAATAAAACAGAAGAATAACAGAATAATTATAGCACGGGAAAGGGCATTCACCGTCTTGTTAATGCCAAGTCTCTGCAAGCATAAGTCAGCTAATACCCCTTTCTGCCTTTTCCACATAGTGCTGCAAGTTCTCGCTCTTCAAACAATTATCCAATTTATTTGTGAAAGCAGTTATTGAACCTACCTTTATGGCATTTTCAGACAGTGCATTCTGGACTATAACCACTGCCTACATAATTAATTAGTTAGGATCTGGAATGCACTGACAGTACAAGTTAGTAAAGGCCGATTTAATGATGGATTTCAGATAGTAATGAATATTTATCTTAACAGAACTTGTCTAGATAATATTTGTATTCAAATAGCAAATAGCTACAATTGTTTCATGAGAAGATGTAGTAACTTATGTTGGCAATACAACTAATTAGTGTCAGTAACATTTCACAGACAGTAATAATGTTGATTACTAAATTTGGGAGTATTTGCTGAATCACTTGGAGCACTCCTTCTCCATCTCAAAATACTAAATTAGATCGGCAAGACTCATTTGAAACTATGAGATAAGGGGAAAAAGAACGACACATTAATATTTTATCTGACAATGTGATAGTATGGTTCAGGAACTCGAAGCCCAATATTCAAGTACACAACTGTCCCAAGGCAAGACTGCTTTCAATTGGGTCAAGCTTAAAAAGTGTGTGGAAAACCAAGAAGGGCTTTGAAACAAAAATCTTTTGGTAGGTTAATGAACTATTTTAACAGAAAGGACTAATTTTAAGAAATTTAAAATGAAGACAGTGACAGTGACACACATTAAAGTGCCCAATAAATACTACATATTTACCAACTTACTTTGAACATTGCAGCAAAGTTACAGCAGTAGGTTATAAAGTTAGCATTAATGTGTGATGATATAGCATGCAGTTCGTAAAGAATTATGCAACATTGTACCAGAAATTACACTACAAACTATTTCGGCATTCTTTTAGTTACAGACAGAAGCCATGCATTCAATGTTGAGCAGTTCAACACAATTACATTTTTAAAAAAAAACAGGTCCTGCAGTGCAGTGCCACTGATGGTTAATTTTCTATACCACAATTACAGTACTTGATCAAGAGGAATAATTAACACTAAAAAAATCCTTTTAAATTTATAGAATAAAAATGAAGCCCTAAAATATGAACCACCCAAAAATCGCAGGAATTTTTCAAACACCAAAGTAATTATGTAAAGCCAGAACAGACTTGCACGTGCATGTCTTGGGATGGGCAGAAAATGGCTGCAAGACAACAATGTACAACCCTAACACACAATTTTCACACTTTTATTCATTACAAGTCCTGAACTCAAAAAAATCTCTCTTTATAATTCTTTTCAGTTATCAGAACATCTGCCCAAGGTTACTTTTTGTGTGCAATGACAAAGAAAGTGAGCGCTATTTCAAAACACCACTCAAATATTAAAATATATTTAAACATTCTAACTTGCGAAGCTTATTTGAAGCCAAAGCTACTTAGTTAACTCCATTTCAAATTTTACCTGGAAACCTGTACAACGGTTTATGTACCTTTCCAACACTGATTGTGGAGCAGATACAGCAGAGCGTCCCTCCACTCCAGCCCAGCAAGTTTACCCAATGAAAAATCATTCATCTAAATTGAAAACTGTTTCACTCTATGCAGCTACTGCCTCACTTGATGAGTATTTAAGTATTTTCTGTTCTTCAGATTTTCAGTATCCACAGTATTATTTGTAAATCACTCTCTAAATAGGACCTCTTTGCTTCCATACATAATACTTCTATGCACCCAAAAATCATGATCTCCCATCAATCTAGCTTTCCAATCTTAAACAATGCCTGATTCCATGGTCTCTGATCTTGTCCTTCTCTTTGTAATCTCTCCTGCTGTTTTCATCTAGCTTTTCTGATTTCCACCTGACTCATTCCCCAAGACTTTTACCACCATTAACCTCTCTGATCTCCTCTCTTCAACGTCACCCACTCTCCCCATAACTAGCTTCGAGTCTTTGATCTCTCTCTACCAATCCTCAGTTTCTGATCTTTTCCCTCTCTTCTAAGCTTCCACTTTCTACCCTCCCCATATGTCTATCTCCAGCCTCTGTCCTTCCCTTTTCCTCACTCCTTCTAGCCTCCCCACCGTCCCTCTTATTCTTCCTAATTCCTGCCAAACTCCCGATATCAAAAAACCTCCTGCCGGGCAGCCTATCGAATCTCTGTATGCAGTTGGCTGTAAAGACAGGAAAGGAAGACAAAAGGTGTGAACATGTACTACAATCTGAGTAGGCATATTTTGAGCGAAATAAGGCCTCTTTGGATTCTCAATCTTTAAAAGTGCATCACTTCCTGCACCTGTAAGAATTGAGGGACAAAGTTTCCACAATGAATAACATCTATTTAAGTGAGAGTAGTACAAGGGCAGGAAAAAGCCTATTCTGCCATTCAATTAGATCATTAAAATCTTTGGAATACCAAAAAATAATCAATTCCTGATTTAAAATTAGCAGTTGATCCAGCATTGATTGACACTTACAAAGGAATGTTTCAATCGTCTATCATCCATTGTACGTAAAAGTTTTTCCCAACTTCAATCTGAAATGTCTAGGTCTATTGTTTTCTGGCTACACCCCTAGTCCTAGACTTTACAACCAATGGAAACAGTTTTTTCTTTATCCGCCTTATCAAGTCTCCTTAATATCTTCAAAACTTCTGACCAAATCAACCCCTTAACTTCTAAATTCCAGAAAACATAACTCTTGGCTGTATAATTTCTCTATTGTTTAATTCTTAAAGGCCAGATATCATTCTGGTAATCCCACCTGCACCTTCCCCAAAGCTAACATTTTGTTCAAAAAATTCACTGCTCAGAACTCAATGTTAACACAACTTAGTGTTTAGCATTTATTAAAATATTAAAAGCATTAGAACTATTTAAGATTCAGATTGAGGATCGAATTATGTGCAAGTTGAGCTGGCTGTGTTGGTGAAAGCCATCATGTCTTTGCAGATCATTTTCCAGCATTTTAATGTGGACATGGAGTATTTAAAATGAGCTTTGAACTCTTCAGTCTTGTATTTGATAGATCATAAAACACATTGATATCTGGCTCCATAAATGGTGTACAGAAATTGAGCAAACTAAATCTCTAATTACATCCAAACAACAGAAGGTAAATGGATAGCACTCTAAACTAGAGTTTCAACATGCCAGCTGAAGGTGAAACACTGCAAAATAGGAGAAGAGGAAATCCAAATTAGGTAATTCAAGAATAATTGTAACTAGCATGAACCGCAACTACTACAGGGATGAGAGCACTGAAGACTAACAAAGAGCTTTAATACAGTAAATCTGGGGAGCTGTAACTTCATGGCAGTGAAGAGGCAATAGGAAAGTTCTTAAGTGGTAGATTATGCCATGTAATTTCCCTCTCAATGTACATCTGTGAAAAAATGACCTGTGCTTCAACTTGAGAATATTTCTGAATGGTATGGACACTGGTCAGTCTTGTGGATGAATAGTACAAATGATTCAGCATTCTTTAATTACCCTTTTCACTGTATAAGGCATTGTTAGTGCTTTGGCTATTTCTGACTTTCACAATAACAACCCATTTGTGCAGCATCAGTTGCATGGGAAAGACACAGAAACAGGTTGTAACCAATCCTTGCCCAATGTTGATTTGTTTACTAAATCTTAGAGGAGTTAGAGGAAAAGAATAAAGGAATCCACAAACGTTTGAATGCTAGCAAATCTCTAATTTTAGGACTTTTACAACATCAGTAAAGTTGTTCAAAATGTGCAAAATAGGATAATCTTAAAAGTGCACTTGCAACTACAAGAGTCGTCAGTAGACAAAGTACACAATAGCTGTTATATTGCAAGACAAGTCCACAAATAATGTTAATAAACTAGAGTGGGATGGGAGGCAGAGAAACATATAGCAAAGCTAATTGTGCAGCTATATCAAGACTAAAATACCTTATGATGAACATTCTTTGCTTTCACATTGTCCTTATCCTGTAGAAAGTTCATAGATGAAAGAAACAACATTTTGGCAAATACAGGTTTTCCTTTCGAAAAGTTTATATTTTTGTAACCATGGCAAATATTCTGAGACCTCTCCCGTTAAACAATATTGCACATAAATTCCAGCATAATTCATAGCAGGAAACTGACTAGTCGTTTTCATATTTAATATTAGTGATGTAACTGCAGTTAAGAATACACAATACTTGTGAAAAAATGATCAACGTCTGCTGCTCACAACTGTAGGAACCAAAATAAATTCTCATAAATGTTGTCACGTCAAATAATAAATGCTAATCAGTTATCATGAAGAGTGGATCAAGAAACAAGCAATATAATGCTGTATTGTGCAGACCAAGGCAAATTGAATGAAGGAACTCCAAAAACAGCAAACAACATCTCAGCACAGTACATGCTATCCTATGTTGCAGTGCTTGTTAAAAATGTCTCTGCTTTTTCTCACCTGCATGTTATAACAGGATCGTTTTGCAGGTGGTGATTGTGCATCAGTTGAAGCTGTATTTACACAACTTTCTTCTGCAGCTTCAGTGGCTCCCAAGTGCTTTACAACAATACATTTTCCAACAGGGAAGTTCCTTCAAAGAAAATTACTTTAGAGTCAGGAGCAACTTTCTCAACGTATTAAATTTATCTCTATTGTTTATTTTAAGAGAAAGAAACAAAAAGTTACAGATATCAGAAAACTTAATCAACCTTTTGATTCATATGCTGTAAAAAGGATGAGATTTTGAAGGTCACTTACTGAAAGTATTATAAAATACACACCTCTCTCTGCACTGCTCGAGTGCTTCATCAGCCAGCTGTTTCAAGTTTACAAGCTTATCCCCTCTGTAAAATCCATCTGAGAAAAGATGAGAGCAAAGCAAGTTCAATATTTACTTCTGATTTTTAGTGCCTTGTTAACCATGTGTAAATCAGCTAGAAAGGCTCCCCACCGAATATGCCTAACGAGACCAGTCCTACTTATCCCCTTTTGAATGATCTATCAAAAGTTCTTTAGATGTCCTGCCACAGCAGCTTGAAAAATCTAAGTAAAGCATCAGAGAAAAACAACAATAATCAAAAGCAAGAACCGGTCCAGGGCAATTCTGATGCTCAATGAGATCATGACTTGTCGTGACCAACCTCCATATAATCCGCCAATTTTCCTGATGTTTCTCAATACTTTTGATGAACAAAATTTCAGGGTTAAAAATTAATAAATTTACCCTGACACGTCTTTGTCTACGGCAGATAATTTCAAGCTGCTATCATTCTTTGAGTGTAGGAGTATTTTCTAACATAAATCCCACATGGGTTGGCTCTATTTCCTAAAAAGCAGATGGAATTTTTTTCATCATCCATCTATTCTCCTTAATAACATGATTTTTCTTATGCCCCATTCTTTCACGGGATATGAACATCACTGGCAAGGCTATCATTTGTACCACCTCCCCCATTGCCCTTGAAAAGCTGCTGGTGAGCTGACTTCTTGAATCTCTGCAGTCCATCTGATCATTTGATTAAATAAATACTTAATATTTTAAATTCTAGGACATAAATCCTTGATAGCTGCAATCTCTCCTTATAATTTAATAACAGCAGCATACAGTAAATCTAGGCCACAGTTTCTCCAAGGCCAAGACATCCTTACTATAGTGGGATGCTCAGAACTGAACACATTACACGTATTGTTAAATCAGGATTTTGTATATGAGGCAAGTTTTTTACTCATATATCCAGAGGACCAGAATAAAGGCCAAAATTCCATTAGGCTTTTTAATATTGTTTTGTCTCTTCCCAGGACATTTTTATTTTCTGTATATATGATACATTAGTTGGGTTGGATCACCATTTAGAAAGAACACTGATCTATCTGTTTAGTTTCAGAGCAATGACCTCACACTTACCTATAACGAAATTCATTTGCCATATCTTTACCTATTGTGTGTGCTTCCATCTATATGGTTTTTACAGTGCTGCCTATCTTTGCGTCACTGACAAACTTGAAATTATTCTTCCTTTACCCAGCTCGCTAATAAATACCTTGAGTGGTTGAGCTCCAAACCAAGATCAATGTCAAACATTAATCGGTTTTCAGCCTGAATGCCATTGTATCTCATGCAACAAATTCTTGTCACGTCTTTCTGGTTAGTAATTGCTCAACTGCCTTTACTAATGCAGAATTGTGTAATGTTTATCACGTAATGTTTGCATTTGTGCAAGGAACTTGTATGCCATTGTAAGCACTTCAAAAATGTCCACATCACCCACAAAATTCACTCTCAGGGAATGACCAATCAGAAGAAAGTTATCCCCATAGAGAGAATCCATAGTTTAGTGGTGATGTCACTGGATTAGTAATCCAGAATCCCAGGTTTTCAGTTGGGTGGTGAGTATTCTGAAGAAGAATCATGTAGGTCTGATCTCTGACCTGAGAGAGAGTCTATGCCAGAAGAGGGGTCCTATCCAATCAGCAACCTTAGTGTGTGGGGATTGGGGATTGGGGACTGGGGCTTGGCGGGAGGGTTTGAGGGGGTGGTGGGTCCTACGGAGAGCGTGCGGCCAGGCACAATACACTGCTTTTCATTCTGGCCTGCAAGATGACAGTACCTACTGCCTTCTCTCCAAGACTTTCCTCATTAAGATCTGATCCTGGGTATGCCCCTGGTCGCGTAAACCCAGCTGGCAACAGATACACCTGACAAGGTGGTTAAATTGGTTTGTTGCAACCCCATTTACATTTTTAAAATTCCAATACACCCGTCCTGCCTCACCAAAGCCCCAAGGTTAGCAGATTGGAGTTGGCTTCCTGGACAGGCTTGGAACCTTTGCTTATTTAAGCCCCCTGCCCACCCAAAGCAACCTGCACAGTCACATTAAAATTCCCAGATACATTGCAACAACAAATGAAGTGCTTCACTAGCAGTACACAGGGACCCTGAAAACATTGTTACAGGTAGTTGATAGGCAGAATGTGTGCAAAAGGGGAAGTAGCTGTTTATTTACCTGCTGTAACTAGCAGAGAACAGTAAGAATCCAGAATTCGTTCACACAGAGATTCCGCAGAAAATCCTGCAAACTGAAATTGAAAATTAAACTGACTTGACAACTCAATAACAGAGAAATGGATTTACACCGAGCATCTGAGTTTAATTGCTCAGATTTGCTAAACTATAGCCAGAGTCACTCACTTCTCAGCAGTCACATGGTGCTGCTATTAACGCCTGCTGGGCTGGTTATGTTGATCTGCTGCAACTAGGACAATATACCTAAGTTTTCCAATATTTAAAGTGAGTTCCACTCTATCTTTGTTGGCTGAGAAGGAGATTTCATGAACTGATGGTAGCCCAACTGGTCTGGTCACCGGAAGTATTTATTTAACAATTAAATAGTTCTTATTAAAATGTCCAAATTGCCTATAATTAGAGTAACCATAATTATGGAGACTAGCAACTATATTTTTTCTTACCACAATGGAATGTATTGCTCCTATTCTGGTGCAAGCTAACATGGCAACAACCAATTCTATGATCATCGGCATGTAGATTGAAACTCTGTCTCCTTTCTTCACTCCTGTGGATTTTAAATAAAAAGACATAAATTGTGGCATATATCAGGACAGGAAAATAGTTTTTGGTTCTGGTTCATCCATGAACATTCAAATTACAAACCAGGCAAGAAATTACGCAGCAATTAAAATTTATAACATGCTGTGTGTTATTGTATGTTAGTGAGTTCAGATTTAAAATCCAAATGTTTAACTGCTGTTTTCACCTCCATAAGTTATCTATTCCAATCAATATATCAAAAAACACTGTATCCAAATCTTTACTGCAATACACTTACAAAAAATTGAATAATGGTTACAAAGAATCAACATGATTTATTTCTGTCCCCTCCAATCCCACAATCAAACCTAAAAGCCAAAGCATAGATGACTAGATAGACATCCAGTCAATTCCTATACTACTTCCAATTGGTGGTCATCCAAAAATAGTTTTGGACTGAATTCACCACTATATTTCCCACATGTTTTCATTTTGGGGAGAAATGCACTAGCTCTTTTTCTGAAAATTATAAACAGAAAATTTTAATAAAACTTGTAAGAGTAGTTGAACAATGACATGAGCAGTCACCAAATTTTGGATCCAGTATATGTCACCTTATAAAATGTCTAACCATCCACAATTACTAACCTGTCAAATTCAATACATGACTTCACAAACAATTCCACATGATTGTAAAATTAATTCAACTGGAGAACTCAGTAACTGGACAGCTTATGGTTACATCAAAACATAGGACGTTAAACAAGTATGGGTACTACATTGTTAACAGAAATAATAATCCTTAAACAGATATGACAGAACATATATGTTAAATATTATTGCAAAGAAACACCTTAGCAAATTTATCAAGTCAGATATGTTCAGAAAATTAAACTATTGAGGTTGACCCAGGTTCCAATGACTTCTCTCAAGTTGCTACTAAAAGTATATAGTTCAGTCATATATTCAAGAACATGAGGCATCAATGCATTTTTTCATTAGAGTTGGGGTTCACACTGGTGATCCCCTATAGTACAAATTATCCACGCTCAGTCTATTGCTGTAGAAAGGTTAATAATGCCCCACAGGGGAAGCTGAGAATGGACAGTCATAATCAGTATGGATCACACATGAGCACATCACATATTTGTACTAAATTCCATTATGTGCTGTAGTAAATGTTCTATAAAGAAGTGTAGTGGAACTCACCATAAGCATGTTACGAAAAATACAATGAAATCATAGTAAGTCAAATTCAGGTACCCTGAAACTCCAGTTGTGGCAATGTTGTTGGTCATTTCCACCAGCAGAATAGAAAGTGCATCAGAAAGATGCCTACAACAAGCTGAAGCTGTGGACAGTATCTTCAGATTTGCAAAATCTGTGCAGGCATGTCATATGACTGCACCAACCAATTAGAGAAGATTCAGACAACACTAGAGTGCAACATCCACAGTGCAAAGGTACAATCAAAACAATAATTGTGCAAAGCAAAAGTGGACATAAGGAGGGGAAGATGCCATCATCAAGTTTATCAACTATTCTCAAGCCTAGCCAACATCAAAGAAGCTCTGCTAACATGGTCCAAGTCAGCTCAAGCAAAGAATGCTTCCATCTCTGGCCCAATCCTGCAGGAAAAAATAGTTACCTGGCAAGGGGTTGGGCCACAAAGAGTTCACTGGAGCGATGGACGACTGGACCAACTCAACACATTGTGGAGGATGATGCTGTACAATGTAATAGCAGTGATGTCAGCAATGTCAGACAACTGGCAGCAAAGTGATCATGTCCGTGCACTGACGAATATACATCAAGAGGCGTTTTTGATGTGGATGAAATCAGACTGTTTCACTCTCTTTGACGAGATTACTCTTCCATGTTTAAACGTGCAACATATAATAGTGTAAAGCAAAGCAAGGAACTTGCCACTGCTAGGGTTTGCATCAACATGAATGGCACTGAAATGCTGCCACTTCATGTGGCAGGAAATTCCAAGAAGTCACATGGCTTTGCAATGCAGCACGAGGCTAACAAACCACCTGAATGAGCTCTAGCAATTTTGACATGTGGATCAAGAGAGTTGATAAAATGTATCAATGTAAGAAAGGAAGATTGTCATTTTTATAGACAACTGCCCTGCACAACCAGAGATCACTGGCCTGGACGTTCTTGCATCCCAAAAGCTCCAGTCAGAGGATCAGGGGTGATTCAGGACCTAACCACCAAGTGCTGATGGCTGCTGGCCTCTCAGGTTATTGAAGCCATTGATAAGAAGCAGGAATAAAACCTGATTATTCTAGATTCCAGGTGCGAAAGACGGTGATGGAAACCACAACTGGCAACTGCTTCCAACACGCTGGGTTCAGATGAGCTATGTCTGTGCAAGATGCCGACAACTTGAGAGGAGCAAGATTGAGCCAACTAACTGGATGGCGAGGCTTTTTTCATTCTAGAGTGGGAGGCTGTTATGGAAATTCCAGCAGGGACAACCATGGAATCTTGTGGATGACACAATGCAAATTACAAGTGAGGCGATCATAAGTGCTGTATGTTCTTCAACGAAGCTCAATGACCCTGAAGACTGCGATGAATGTTCGTCTGCTCTCATTTCCTTAGCTGAAGCCAAAAAGGCCAGAGAGATGCACCACAATTATGTAATGCAGTAGAAAATCAAGGAAACATGCTTGAATGCATTGATGATATGGCAGGCTGTATTGCACTTGTCTGAAGACAGCAGGCTAAGCAGAAAAAGATTACTGAATTTTTCAAATGCTAACACCCAACATTTTTCAATATCTGTTACTGTACAAGGTCATGCCACTCTAAGGTGTGAACAATTTTTTTTTAAATATACATTTTTCATTTATTTGCTACATCACCATATTTTCTTTTTTTTAGAAAGTAGGGAATGTTTGTGGGTAAAATTTTATTATATTGGGACATCCTCAGATATCTCGAAGCCCAGTTTACACAAATTTATAGGCAGGTCCCCTGCAATTCAATTTGCCATGGTTTTACTATATACTCTGCTATTTTTGAACTGCAGTGGATTTTCCACCCTCTCAACTTCACTGAACACAGGGGGATTAACAGCAGCTGCATAAAAGCACAGAATTCTTTTCAGTTTGAATCTGGGATAACAAATAGTTTATCCAAATCAGAAAAAGCAGATGCATCCCATATTGGAAGTGTACAAACATTCAACACACTTGCACTGAAATTCATTCTGCATTTGCACTACCACTCCCACACAGAAGCAGAATATTTATAATGAAAGTAGTATGTCAATATTATTCAGAGATAGTAAGAACTGCAGATGCTGGAGTCAGAGTCAATACAATGTGGAGCTGGAGGAACAAGCAGGTCAGGCAGCATCAAAGGAGCAGGAAAGTTGACATTTCAGGTCAGGACCATTCTGTTTTATGGAGAAAGAGCATTTTGTGTACTTGCCATTTTTTTTTTAAGTAAGCCAATACACACAGCGATACTAAGAATAAAAATATTAACTTTGCCTCATCTACTAATATCCAACCCACTTGGAGGTTGTTCACATTGTAACGACCACTTTGCCAATCTGTGATCCTTTTGCCAATTAAAGTAAAGGGATGGAAAATTCTGGTCATTTCATCGGGTTATCAACCTGCCAAGATCGCCCAGAAATCAGCACAGATTAATCTCCTAGACACTGCTATGAGCAACCCATGACAAAATCTGAGGTGCTTTAAAAAAGTGGATGATTTTTCTCCTTCTTATTTGAACACTTTTGTTTGTTAGTGATAGAAAATATTGGATTGGTGATGGATAAAGATAGTTCAACAGGGCAAAGTAATTGCAAGTTGGCAGTCCTGTGATAACACTTCCAAGATACTTCCTTGCAGATTTGGCAGATCTAGCCTTTAGTGCAACAGCTGAGCTAACACCACTATAGAATCAATCATGCGTCATAACATTCAAGTAAATTGTTCTATACTTACCAGTTCAAACCTATATCTACATCAATACCTAAATTTAAGGGAAGTAGAACAAATCCAGAGAATTACAGACTAATCAGCTAGACATTGGTGATAGGAAAAATAATGGAATCTCTACTAAAAGGTAGAATAAAAGAACATATAGGAGCTAAAATGTGATATGAAAACCAAAGTGGATCTTAAAAGGGAAAGTATTGTTTGATTAAATTCGCTGAATTTTTTGAAGTGGGATCAGAAATAGTAGACTGGAGTGATGCACTGGGAATACTTTATCTGGATTTTCAAAAGATGTTTGATAGGATACCACATAATAAAGACGATCAGAGAATGTGGAATGAGGAAGCAAGAAGCTGGATGGATAGCTAACTGGCTTTGAGAGGGAAAGAAGCAAGTAGAGGCAAAGTGTAGTTACTTATAGTGGAAGAAAATTGGGAAGTGAGAATTATCTTTAGGTCATAACCATTCATTTTTATGATTGGAGGACTGGCAACATTAGCTCATGGATGGTAACACCTTGCCTTCCTTTACAGAAGCATGATATAATAATCCAGCAATGTTTCATCCTACTACAACAGCACAAAAAGCTGAAATATTGAAATAATGAGGTTACTTTGGTGTTTTTGTACAAGTGCATTGGTCCACCAGAACCTTGACGGTTATAGAAGGCAAACAAAAGGAAAACTAATGGTAACTTTAAGTTACAGCATGGAATCATTATGGGGTACTTTCTGATTTAACCAAAACCTGCACCACCAGCTGGTGCCATGGAAACGTCAGAAGTGTCTTTGAGATCACCTTCTCAAAAGAAGACAGTGAAATCAACCATCTCCAGCACAAAGAAGGGAACTGATTCCAATTAAAGCATTGTAAATACCTGGAAACTGGATGGGATTGGGATGCAAAGAATCAATAATAGGATGTCGCAGTTACATCACAAGATCTGTTGCACCATACAACCACAAACAAATTCGAAGAGCACTGGGGTATGCTTTCATCTCTAAAACAAACAAAGAAATACATAATCTATAATATATTGACTATGGCCAAATTAGACAGGACCTTCTTCCTTGGGAAGGGAATAAAGATTGCCTGACAAGATAGTCAATTTCAAGATGCAGACAATTGACAACATCACGATGATCTCTCTGGGGTGTGGTATCAATGTGGAATCAGCTGTAACCAGGTGGTACAAAGTTGGTAAACAAGACCACGCGTTCAACTGTATAACATGCATTAACAATCATCAGCTACTGTTTCTGAAGCAGAAACAGAACATGATTTAGAAAATCACAAAGAAACTGAGAAACAAGAAAAGAAAGTGATAGACACGAATGTCAGAAAACCATGTTTATTCATTTTATCTTACAAATTATTTGCACATTACACGATCATTTGTGAACATGAACTTTTTATGAAAAGTAAAAGATTTGGTAATACTTAAGAAACAAGTATTTGCCATTTTTGATTATAAAGCAAACTTTAATTTCAATCAAAACTGCTATTACCCACTTTCTGTATTTTGTCTGTTCTAGTTTTGCTTGAACCACTGTTGCACAAGTCATGGTGCCCTGTTACTAAACAACAGCATGGCTTTGCAAAATAAGTTTTTGACAATGGCATTGACAAATAGTTAGCATGCTAGTTTGATCTGATTAATTCTCAGTATGAGATTACATGGGCTGCTATATGTTATAGACACATTGTTTTATGTCCCATTTACCCGAAGGAAGAAACTCAAAAAAAATTCAACACAAATTCTGAAGGTATTGTTACTACGTAACTGCATTTCCTAATAATAGGAGTGAGTGAAAATGAAAAAGGAGCAGCTGGAAATCAAAATGTAGCTCATGTGAAAATTTCACATGGACCATTTGAAACAAAAAAGCTACTCCCGCAAGGTAGGCCTCCATCAACCCAGGGTAAATGTTAGGGTGAATCCGGCTCTGCTGGGTTGGCTTGCCCCATATTAATATTTTTTCAGAAGATGATTAATTAGTTTTGAGGTAGGACTTCTGTCCATTTCCAGGAGAAAGCCCTGGCTCTGAGAGGTGCCGGTGGACCAGGGTCCAGCAGCAAAACCACAAGTGACGAGCATCACTGGTATCACACCACCCGTAGAGAAAGAGCGACCTCGGGTCTCTGAAAACCCAGGCAAGTCCTGGATCTTGGACGGCAGGCTGCAAAACTGTGACGGCAAAATCGTGATTCAAGCATAGGGGTGCTCTGATTGGCTAAGGGGGCCCAGGAGAGATGCAACATCACTTCCACAACATCCCCTTTATTAGCCAGCAGCCCACAGAATGAAATCGGTCACACTGCACATTGAGCACAGGTCTCTTCCACTCTCTGTTATATCACAGCAGCAGCGATGGGATGAGGCCCTTAAATGCAGATTAATTAATCTCACCTGGGTCAAGGACATTCATCTCACTGGATGCTTCCCTGGTAGCCTGTAAAATCGTGGTAGGGATGGCAGCAGGCTCCACTGATTGCACAGTGATCTAACTTATTGATCCACCCACCTGCTTTAACGCCCGGTAGATAACTAAATTCAGCCCCAAGAATCTAAAAGGAATTGAGAAGAGATCTGACAAAACAGATACTTCAGTCACTGAAGCAGTGACATAAAAAGTAAACCAAACACTAGAGCTTCCTTCTAGAGGGTTAGAATTGAGAAATAAACTTATGCTAAACTAGTAATAAATCTTTGTTACACCGCACTTGAAATACTGTAAGTAATTCTGGTTGCCATGCAAGAAAAGTGACATTAAGGTACTTGAGAGGGTGCAAAAATGGTCAAGAAGGAAGTCACCGTGAAAAAGGGATATAGCCAACAGGAGATGTTTTCTCCTTTTCATGTCCCTTGAGAAGCAAAGGCCGAGGAGCAACCTAACAGGGATTTTTTTAATTGTGATGGGTTTCGATAGAGTGAACAGAGAGAGAATAGTTCCTCATGTGGGGAAGAGCTAAACTAGAAGCCATAGTACAAGTCACCAAGAGAACAAATAGGGAGTTCAACAAAAAAAATCTTCACCCGGAGCGCGAAGAAGAGTGGTTGCTGTATCTATACTATTTGCTTCAAAGGGATGCTAGGCAAATATGCGAGGGAAAGGGAACAGAGAGTTAGAGCTTGATTAGACCGAGCTATTACAGCTAGATGAGGAAAGACAGGAAAAGACTCAGTTAGAGCATACTTGTAAGCATAGAATGTTAAGCCTATGCTGTGCTGTATAGCCTACGTAATGTAATCCCATAAGCCCTTAACCAATACCTAACACTAATGGGTCTCTTGTAGTGAGCATTTTGACTTCTTAAAATTGTAGCAACAATTTAAAAACTAGGAAAATAGTAGCAGCAAATGTTTAGATTATGTCTATAATGTTAAAGACTTCCTCATCTTGTGAGAAGTGCCTGGTGTTTGCAACGCAAAATAAAATCATGCATTAGTCAGTAAAATCCACATAAAGCTATTCTAAGGGCATCACTAGAAAACAGTGCCACGTACATCCTCAGCTTTGCCAATTTCATTAAACCCAGAATAAAAATTCAGCTACCTAAATCTTGGGTATGTATCACTCATTTAAAAGAATTCTTTTCTATGTGTTTACGTCCATTTGCATTTCTGAAAATAATTAATTTGCACAGAAACTTATACAGTAGTCGTAACAAGCAAGAGAAGCCTTGTATTTGATTTCCATCTTTTATAGAACAGGGAAAATGAATTAGGGAGATTTTAAATGAGGAACTTACCATGACATTGCAGGACATTGGCAAATTTGCAGACCTGCTGCAACAGTTCTTTGTAAGTTATCTGCATACAATCTCCAGGTTCATTCCCCTCCCTGCAATCAAATAACAAAATTATATTTCTATAAACCTTGTGCAAATTAACTCTATGCATTATGTGAATTAAGACGTAGAATTAACCATAATTTATATGAAACAGGAAGTAACATTTACTGTTCAACAAATTTAAAAGGAAAAATATACATTGGTACACAAGATGATTAACACTGTATGTCGTTGGCTTTCTACCTTTTTGAATATATTCCTGGTTGTGCTTGTGATGTAGCAGAGAAGCCAGGCTCATTCAAACAGAAAAGTTTGGCATAGGCAGTTAATTTTGAGAGTGAACATAGCTACCATCTCATTACCACTTTCTACTAACGGCCAGTCAAAAAGTATTAGTAGAGCTTTGACATAATACCAGATACCCATTCTACCAGATGCAGAAGATTCAAATGGAATATATGTGCATTTTGGGTAAAAGGGCATTTGCATTCAAATTAGCAACAGGGTAGGCCCCTTGAGCCTACTTTGCTATCAAGGTGATCATGGCTGACCTGATTACTCCACAATCCTGTCCACCCCAATGACTTGCAGCCCTGCAGCCCTTTGTCAATCAAGAATCTACTTCTATCTTTAAAATATTTAAATACCCTGCTTCCACCAGATTTTGAGGAAGGGCGTTCCAAAGACATATGGCTCTCAGGGAAATACTTTTTCATCTCTGTCTTTAAAAAGGGCAATCCTTTATTTTTAAAAGCAGTTTTAGATTCTCCCACAGGAAGAAACATCCTTTCGACATTTGCTCTGCCAAGTCCATTCAGAATCCTGCATGCCTCAAACAAGTGGCCTTTTGCTCTTCTAAACATCAGCAGATAAAAGCCCACTTCTGTCCAGCCTTTCCTCAAAAGGCAACCCACCCCTTCCAGGTGCTAGATGAGTAAATCTTCTCCAAGAAGTTTCCAATACATTTCCATCCTTCCTTACTTAATAAGGCCAATAGTATACACCAATGCCCTGTAAAACTGAAGCATTTGTATCTACAAGCTCTTTGTAAATCTCCAAACCCTAACAGCGGATGGTACAGCAAAAAGTCTAAGCAAACTGGATAGATATTGCAATAACCAGCAATCCAATAGCCTTTAGATGTGGGTTCTTCACTAAAAGTTAAGTAGTCATTAAAATATAGCAGGAAAGGGTAATTCCTGTACTACATTAATCTCCTGCATTCAGTTCTGTGGCACATCTGGTTTGAGGAAGTTTTAGCATTGTGCTGACAGATTATAAAATATAATCAACGAGTTGCATTATGTTGTGAGGGATGTTTGTCAACCTTCCTGAATACCAGAGACTGAGAAATAAATTTTCCTCATTCCCCTGGTTAGAGTGCTTCAAGCTGGTGGAGGAATGGGGGAAGCAGCATTGCAACATCTCCCCAACATATTCCTGCCACTGGGGAATTTTCCCATGGAGGGCTGGGATCCAGATTGACTGGTGAATCCAAGGAATGAAGTCCCCATTGGAGGCAGTTTTGTGAGGTACCCAGCATTTTCCAATGGCTGACCAGAGCCCCATCACAAGCCAAGATCATTGGCTTAATGGAGCTGGCCTTCAGCGGTAGTTCAGGCAGCCACCCAAGACTGAGCCTCCATTCAATGGAGAAGGCACTATGTTAATAAATGGCCTCAACCTTGGCAGTACTCATTACTGTGGAGCATTTTAACCTTCCTGTCCAACAGCCCTAAACGTTTAGCTCATCTTAAATCCACCACTTGTCCACAGAGAATATAGGAGCCTTCATGCCTCGCTACATACTTCAGCAATGCCCACTGCTGATTAGACCAGCAGCAACAGGAATCTGCCTACCATCTTAATAGGATAGTGTACACAGGGCTGGGTAAAGTGGGAGGCAGCATCTCGGAAGACTGCAATGCCAGCCTAGCTTCTGGTAAGTGCAAACTCCAGACTGTTTTTATGAAGAGTTTCTCCGATTTCACACTTTCTCTGAATATCACAAATCTTGATCATTTCAGTTATCAATCTGGCACTAAAAAAACGTAATTCAACTTATGTAATCAAACAACTATTCAGGTGGGACATACAACTACAGAAAAAGACTGCAGATAAAGCTGAGCCAGAAACCAGTTTCTAAAAGTTTCAGAAGTCGAAGAGCAGTTTATGCATATTTCACAGAAACACCACATTCAGCTTCCTGACTAGCTATAAAAACACTTAACACAGAGCTCTATGGTTTAGGATGCTATGAGACAGAGGATGGAGATTTAGATAAGTAAAGATAGATAAGGATGTGGAGTGGTGTGCATCAACAAAGCAAGTCCAATTTTATTAAGTATGCGTATCTTCAGTCTTTTTTAAGAGAACTTTTTTTCTTAAAGTTTAGAGCCACATTTACAACTATACCTCCAGTACATGCGTTAACCAACTCATGGCCCCGGATAACTGCCAAACACACACTACAATGGCTTAAGAACCAAATCTCAGCTCTGGCAATCAGAGATTTCTTTGCTTTGGAATCATAATCAAGAATTGGATAATCCAAATTCTGAAATTCTCCACATCCTTTCAGTCTCCTGTTTTCCTTCAAGGCCATTCTTAAATCCAATCTCATGAGATCTAATTACCTCCTTTTTTGGCTCAAAGACCAGATTTATCTGAGAAAACCTCCGTGAAGCCTTGGGATGTTTTTCTATGTTATAACTATTAAATACAGAAAATAGAAAGAGGAGTAGGCTACTCAGCCTTTCGAGTCTGATTGTCCAGCTCAGTCCCCTGTTCTCAATTTCAACCCCCATACCTTTTGATCTTATTAGCCCTGAGAACTACATCTAACACGTTCTTGAAAATATTTAATATTTTGGCTTCAATCGCTTTCAACGCCAGAGAATTCCACAGGCTCACCATTCTCTGGGAGAAAAATTTATCCTATCTCAGTCCTAAACAGCTTACCCCATATCCTTAAACTGCGACCCCTGGTTCTGGACTCCCGGTCATTGCTTCCTGCCCGGCTTAGTCCTATTAAAATTTTATAGATTTCTATGCAATCTCTCATTTATCTTCTAAACTCCAGTGGATATAGTCCTATTTGATCCAGTCCCTCTTCTGAAGTCAGCCCTGCCATCCAAGGAATCAGTCTGGTAAATATTTTTCACACTCACTCCATAGCCAGAGCATCTTTCCTCAGATAAAGGATCAAAACTGCACGCAACACTCCAGGTGTGGTCTCACCAAGGCCCCGTACAATTGCAGCAGGACATCCATGCTCCTGGGGTCAGCATGGTGGCACGTGGTTAGCACTGCTGCCTCAATGCACCTGGGACTCGGGTTCAATTCCAGCCTCGGGCGACTGTCTGTGTGGAGTTTGCACATTCTCCCCGTGTCTGCGTGGGTTTCCTCCGGGTGCTCTGGTTTCCTCCCACAGTCCAAAGATGTGCAGGTTAGGCAAACTGACCATGCTAAATTGCCCAGTGTCTAGGGATGTCCAGGCCAGGTGAGTTAGCTATGGGAAATGCAGGGTTACAGGAATAGGGTATGGGGGTGGGTCTGGGTGGGATGCTCTTCATAGGGTCGGCGTGAACTCGATGGGCCAAATAGCCTGCTTCACACTGTGGGGATTCTATGGTTCTCAAATCCTTTCACTATGTAGGCCAACATACCATTTGCCTTCTTCACTGCCTGCTGACCCTACACTTTCTGTCAGATGTTTCTTTAACAAGGCACTAAATGATAAAGAACTGAATATGGAATGCATTATAAAGAATACTAGGATTTAAGTACCGGTAAGAAAACATGGAAGAAAAGTCAATACCAATTCGTTTGTATTTAATGCAAAACCCATCTGAATTTCTCAGAAGTCAAACGCTTACCTGCTGTTACATTTGCAAATCATACCTTATACAACTTTTATATTTGTAAAAGCTGTAGAAAATTATCATCAGAATGGAAAGAATAGAATTGACTTTGTTTTAACTCAGGTCTGTCAAATTAAAAACTTTTAAAGTAGGTGAGTTAGTTTCAGTTTTATTGCTGAGATCACAGATGTTAGCAAATTAGCATTGTTATTAATAATGAATCAAAATAGAAACAAGAAATTTGGAGGGAGAGTATAAAAATGTGACATACATCCACTAATAGAGAGATTATCAAATCACAGAATGGTTACAGCACCAGAGGCCATTCAGCCTGCTGTGTTTGTGCTACTCTTTGAAGGAGCAAGTTCTACCCTCCTGCCTTTATCCCACAGCCCTACACTTCTTTCCTTTTCAGATAATGACCTAATTTTCTTTTGAAAAGCTAACATAAACATGCTTCCATCATTCTGTAAGGCAATGCAATCCAGACTTCTACCACTGACCACATGAAAAACATTTTCATCTTGCCAATGCATCCTTTTGTAAATTACCTTAAACTTGTGCCCTTCACTTTTCAATCCTGTCCCTACTGGGAACAATTTCTCCCCAGTTACTCCACCCAGACCCCTCATGAATTTGAATACTTCTATCAAATCTCCTTTTAACCCTCAATTCTCCAAGATGATGATTCCCAATTTCTCTAATCTTTCTATATAAGTGAAGTTCCTTGTCCCTGAAACTATTACCATGAATCTTTGCTGCATCTCCCTAATGTCTTCACTTCATTCCTATCATAAATACAGAAAATCGAGAAGCGTGGTGGCTATTTGATCATAAAGTTTGTTGCATTTTCCTCACATCAGGTAATATTTTGCATAAGCAAGTAGATAAAGCACAAACTTAAAGCTCGATGGCAGTACCATCATAAATCACTGCACTTGCAAATGATTTATCTGGAAGTGCAGCAATTTTAATACACCTGTCAAATTTCACTACTAACAGCTCGATATGCTCTTTCATCAAAGAATTTCAAATGAAACACTTGAGTTTGCACAAGGCAATGCCCCATGGATGGTAAAAAAAAATTCAGAATCAACGCAGACTTCTTTTGCATGCATCCTAACATGAGGAGAATTGGCAAAGACTTCTAAGCAGGTAGCTGGTTCACTCACTCACTGGAGTGGCTT